GAGTCACGGATTATGGATATCATTGAGTAGTATCGTTTTTCAAGCACAGAGGAAATTTTTTTCAAATGGAAAAACATGACATTGACAAAAGACTTTTTGTTTGTATTCTTGGAGTTTGATGTATTCTACAAAATCTAGTACACGCTATATGACCGACTGACATTACCTTACCTAAGCCTAAATAGAAGGAAAAATAAAAAGAAAGGTGAGAGCGACGGGATACAATAATTTTACTATTTCCACTTCTAATATAGTTTTCGTTGGTGTGGAAAAAAAGGCTTTTCAAGATATTGTTTTCACCATGAGCGAACTAAGAAGTACTAAGGGAGGATAGACGGTGGAGGCGAGAAGGGTGAGGCCTTTTGAAACAGAGCTGCCTTATGCCTGGTAAGAAAGCGACGCCGCGGTGTTGTCACCGATACGTTGTAACATAGTTGACGTTTAGCGCAAGGCCTGGTATTGATCAGACGATGGGAAACTCAGAAAAGAGTTTTCATTACAAATTTTTCGCCACATAATGCTAATGCGGGCTAAGCACAATGGGAGTATGCGCATCAGGCGCTGCGTTAAACATTGCTATCCACAATGCAAGCCATCACGTACCACCAGGGGGCGGACAACTAATATGATGTATGCTGCTATATCTTTGTTGATACAGATGTTTGCACATGTGTCAATGCACAGAGAACCGCCCAGCTGAGGAAGACCCGACCTGAGCCGCAGGCTTGACCTAAGAAGTGGTCATACAAATGACGTTATGGATATACGGCAGTGTGGTGTATCGGGTGGTGTTTTGCCTTGGAGAACTAATCGAATTTCCTAGCGGCGATCCAGCAACAGCGGTTAAACACCGGGCGACCTTACTCCTTTTGGGCAACCGCAATTCACGCGCACAAAGAGCTCATACACATGAAGAAACTTTAACAGTGTTATAACATATTATAGATTGGTTATATATATACGAAAGGTGTTATCTTTAGACTTTTCCTTATGACTTAATCCTGATACTGCAGATAGATAGAAAAAAAGAAAGTAAAGATACTCCAACTGATTTTTTTTTAAATTTAGATACAGTATCAAAAACGACTCATGGTTAAACTTTTCCATATCTACACATAACCAATCTATAGTGTATATTAGTATGTATACAAGATTAATATTAGAACGACCTAACGCTGCTACAAAGTTCACCGCTAAAATTTCTTGTACATGGGTGAGCTCCTCGTGCACATAAACAGGGGACTAGTGCATATGTGTACATATATATATTGCTAGAAGTATCAGTACTGAAGCTCACGTTTGTCCAATATAACTGCTATGCACCCCGATTTCAGCTTAAATTCGAGACTTCGTTTTCAAATTGTTTATTTTTAATTCGCAATAAACGTTCTAGCAGTGACTATATTATAAACTGATATTAGTCGATATAAACACACGGAAGTTTTGCTAAAATACAACATGAATGTAAAAAAAATTAAAGTGAGTCTACTTTGAAGCTAATACCAGGCCGAAAATCCTAAAATAAAAGGACTCAAAACAGCAGAAATATTTTAAAAATCTCAAAAAAAAAAACTAACCGCTGAAGTTTACGCAAACGACGCAAGTGGTAACTGACATTTTCTTTTTTACAAAACGCCCGTTAATTTCCGTGTCGAAGACTTGGGATTCTAAAAATGGCATTTTAAGCCATTCTGATAAATCATGGAGCTTTATAAACCTAAGCTTCATCGAAAACCTTTCGATGTGCCTTATAAAAGCCTTCCTCGGACTTTCAGAAGCTGATAACGCAGACCATTCATTCTAGCCAACAAAGTTTTTAATCCTAGTATAGGTTTGTCTCGCGTCAAGACATTGCACAATAGGTAATCTTCACTCGAATCCTGAAAATGCGATATTGTATTTGTTGTCTTATTTTAGATAGAACTATTTTTTTTTTTTCGTAAATCCTACGATAAACAGCTTGCCCAGTTTTGAATCTTCCACTCTGTGTATATATAAAGAGAGGGAAATTAAAAACGGTAATGAACTGGTCTCAACAGCATATAATCACATTGATGGATATGATCCTATACTCTCGACGGCGTAATTACTAAAAGCCTGGATGCTCTAAACATTTTAGTAGTGTTTGTCTCGTGTTGATCCTCAGTATTGCCTTGGTAATGAACCTTTTTGTACAGTACATACAATACATATGCTAGTAATGCTTATTCGCATCAGGCTATCAAAAGGCTTATTCGACAGCTTTCGCTTCGGCCTAGATAATGAAAAATAGAAGTTATTAATAATTAATTTTCTGATCTTTCTGTGTACAAAAAAATGTATTGGTTGAAGCATGCTCAGCTCCCATTCGATCTTGACAAACGCAAGATTGCCAGAGTTCACATCATTTTCTTAAGTGATCCCTCCTGATCTTATGACAGCAGAATTACGCCTTACTACATTAGGACTAAGTGGTGCCTTCTTCATCGAGACCAGCACGGCCCAACGATGAGTCTCTGCTGAAAGCAAAAGACCTCTGCATAGATCCATAATCGAGGGTTACTGACTCACCGCACAACTAATCACACCACCTGTACAGTAAACGATCGGCTGAAAACGTCTCACATCTAGTGAAGGCGAGAGGTCTTGTAGTCGCTCCGATCTGTATATCGTTGTTATAGTGTCTTTTACATTACCCATAGTGGGTGCCATATTGAAATTAAAAGGGTACTTCATGAACACTAAGAACGCATTACAGATACGGACATTATATATACACCCTCTACATTCGATATTATTACCCGCCTTCGTACATCACGCGCTTTTCACCTTTATTTATTTATGTCAGGTGCTCATCACGATAATTCCTTGCCCTTTCCGTTACTTCCCACATACGGCTAAGTGTTACAATGGATTTTCTTACGGCCTATCTGACAAGGAATATTCAGAATTAACGAACCTCCTTTCGCCTTTTAGGCACTTACGAGCGGGTGGAGGCGGTTGAGGATCGTCAGATAGATTCCGTAGATAATGCATTCAAAAATCTTCGTGTGTCCGGTGACTGAAAGTGACTGGGCTGGATAGAACATTGATCGACTAGACCGTTACTGCTGCCTATCAAACAACTTTTCTTGGTCTACCATCTTTCGGCTCAGACACATCGTTTTTTGTACAGCCTGTTCCCAAGTATCCGCCAACGTGATTACTAGCGCGGGTCAGTACCACTAACATTTAGGTAGCAGGTAAATGTCTGTAGGTAATTACGCAGCGATAGTGGGTATCTAGGAGCTATGTCGGGGCTCGTTCTAGAAATCGTGAACACTGAGATAGTTTTCTGAACAGCTACAAGGTAAAGGGCGAGTCCGTGGGATCCCAATGTCTATTTTAAGCACTGTTTGAAATGGCCTGACTTCGTTGGCCAAACGAAATTCGCTTTTCATTGAGGACTTCCCTCTAACTTATCGTATCGTTATGTTATACTGTCCCAAACAAACATCGCAACAAATGAACTTATCAGTGATGACTGTCCGACATTTTGGTCAAGTGCCAAGCAGGGACTCAAACTGATGGTAAGAGGACATCGTTTATGCAAATTGGTAACTTTGAATAAATGTTTCGACTAGATGCCTATCGGCTACGCATCCTTGCCAAATGTCTTTTCTTTTAAATTAATTTTGGCTAGGGTTCATGCAAGTCTATGTCCTAGAATTTTCTGCCCATAATCTATATTTCGTCATTTAACTACTGCCAGCTAATCTTCGAATTGAGCATCTTAATCGTGATTTCAGTCTCAGCTTGTTGAGTTGATGAGGTATGGTATCGTCTTGGCTCGTAAAAACAACGAAATGTAAACAGTAGTGGCCGCAATAGAAACAGTGTTATACAGACATTGTGTTACAAAATCACACCGTAATCGTGAACGCGCAATTTAATTTCTTGTTATGTCTGAGAACGATGCTGTTATTGACATGTTTTTGTGTTAAAAATCGCCCATGTATTACTTAAAGAAATGAAGATATTAGCTAAGTGTTGTTAAGGGAGAAAGCTGTAAAGGTTGACGTCTTTCATTTGTGCAAAAACATTATGGCATACAGGAGCGTGTTCAAAAGGTTTTCTTTTCATCAACTACTTCAGATGATATTAACACGCGACTCTACTCTATATAATATATTAACAACACCTGTATTACAGTCATTTATAAGGGAAAATTGGGCAGTTTTTACAATACGTTTCGTTATCAATATAAGGATCTAATAGACGCATAGGGCGACCTAACCACCGCTACTAGTGGATTAAGACAAAAGCTTAGCGATATAAATAGGGTACTGTAAATCTTCTAAATATTACGTCCTAATAAACAACGATTTTTGCATTAATCCAGTTGAGAAGAAGAAGAAATGGGTTATGTTCATCTACTGCTGCTGCGTGTCTTCGCATTACATTGAGATGGCACATGTTCTTTAATTTCTTCAACCAATTATACTCAAAAATATATTGTTCCATGTACAAACAAGCCAATGCTTTTTCCATAGATCTTATATTAAACGTAAGAGTCGCAGAGAAGACTTGACATACTGACCTTAAAACCTGTGATAGCATTTAAATTTTGGTGAAATAAATGTCGAAGCTCTATGCTTCCATTGGGTGTTGTAGCTTGTTTACAGAGCTCCAGTGATCCCTAAGGGACTGACGCGCCAAACTTTGAGGTATCGTCATACTTAAGCTCATTTTGTATGACATAATCAATGGCATGTGTTGCGTCATTGAATATCGCATTTTGTTGTATATTGAGTTTTTTTTTCTGAATTAACATACTTCACTATAGCTTTTTAAGGCACTACTTTGGCATCTGCCGACATATCCAGATTACATAGCTTGCGCTTGAAAGTGTTTGTCTACCCTTTTTTAAGAGCGAATTTATTTTTACGTGTTAAGAATTCTTATATCCTTCGTTACTCTATTTTTGCATAATAATTCGAACAAAGGATAACAAATGAAAGTGACGTGTTTATGCAACATACTGCCTGTCGGTCAGAGATGACTTGTATGAGCTCCATCATGTCGGCACCGAATTGGCTAAACGCTTTGACAAAGTCGATGAAGTTGGTGACGCTCTGCAGGGGGTCATGAGGACTCAGCGGCAATAGCGCCCCCACATCCGTCAGCGCCGCGCCATTTAGCGCATCTAGCGCGCTGGTGTTGATATTGAGTTCGTTGAGGCTGCCTGGATTGCCAGGGCGACCCTGGAGATGGTGGATCCCGCTGGCCTGTATCTGCATCTGCAGGCCAAGAGGAGCCTGATGTTGGTGCAACCCAGCCGACTGGTGTTCCTTGTTTGGGCCTAACAGTTGCTTCACCACGACCGTGTCCGCAAGTAGCAGGACCCGCGTGACACTCGAAAGGAGCGTCTTGGCCGCGCGAGCCAGCTTCATTCTGAAAATGATATCGTGTAGCAAACAATCGAAAAAGGACGTATTAGTTAAAAATACAGTATATGTTAAAACTGAGATGATGTAATAGGATGGAACTATAATTGAGCACAGCTTACTAAGGTGTTATCGTTCATGCGCGTATCGTTCGTCTATGACTCATCATTGCGTTGTGTGATAAACAGTTTATTGGTCATATCTAAAGCAGTACTGACTTACTAGGTTAGTCACCGTTTGTGAATTTTCAAAAATATAGTGTCTGCTGTAATAGGTACAATTTGACATTTCATTTATTATTTCGGTTCTGTGTTCAGATATGAGATTGTGTTTCGGAGTAAAGAACTCCAGATCTTGGGTGTCACGCGGAAACATTTCGCTTAGTCTTTATGGCTTGACGCGTAACAATACGTTCAGATAAACAAAATTACACACGCATTTACACGGATGAATCATTTTAATCTGGACGACAACGACCTGAGTTCGTTTCGTGTTAACAATCGTCGCCTAACTTAATCTCAGCGTGTCCTGCCAGCTCCGTAGATACCTCATTTTTTGTGAGTTTTATTCATGCAAAAGAACAGTAATATTACTAAATAGTAGGGTATTTACAAATCTATACTGGAAGACGAGTATATCACAAATCAAGTATGTGTAACTTCCAGTTGTCAAATTCATTCCAACCAGACATACGTTACCAGATACCGTAAGCACGTCAAAAGGCTTACTTATACCCGATGTATATTAAGACATAAGAGTAACAGAGAGACAGAACAAACGTGAACTCCTAACTAAAAAGGGAATTTGCTTTTCGGTAAGAAAAACGTAGGGCTAGAGGCCTAATTTAACCGTTAGCCTACTTTTTCTTGAAATAACTTTTTGAGACAATTTAGTAGGGTACGGCACTTTAGATCACAAGTCGAACAGCAAGTTACTTTAATAAACAGCTCTGATTTAAGTACTCATATATCGGCTTGCTTTCTCTATATATACATATATATAGTGTATATATATATATATATAATCTTAAAACGATGTCATTTAGTGTGTGTTTAGATTGGTAGAGGCGTAAGCACAAGAAGTCAATTGCTTTGTGGCATTTTTTTGGCATGTAATTATAGTTGGATTTGTACCAGCGCTTTTGTTAGATTTCAGAATCAGTTTTATTATCTGGGTAAGCCATTGCCGCCCTGGCAATCAGTGGATGCTCCGGACAGATGCCATTCTTCTGTAAATGCCACTCGTATACTGTGAACTGAGTTTTTGCCTTAAATGAATTCCAACTGTTCACTACATAAGAAAAAACCCTGGCATATGAATTTGTATTTTCGAGCTTCTTGTTTAGACAACTCGACTGGCTAGCCCACAAGAAGCCTACTGTGAGGTTTAATGGATCGCTGATTCTAACTCGACCGCCAGGCAGCCCCGGTATCGCTCCGCCATGTCACAAGCGGTGCTGGATAGATTCGTATCGCATTAGAACTTCGGGTTATTCTGTTTATTCTTGAAGGGGGTTCGTTGTGATCAGATGGAAGAAATTGTCACAAAATTGCTTAGCTGACCGTGATCGCCAATCGGTAAGTAGTACGAGTAGGTATTCTACTGTATCTAATAAACGGTTCGCGAAAACTTCATTAAAATGCATACAAGCATAAAAGGAGACGGACAATCTCTATTGAAAAATCTTTTCTAACCAAAAAAGAGTATTTCGAAACAAGACAGCAGCTTATGGGGATCATCTCCCTCATGGCTGCTAATCTATGGCTATAAACGCGTCGAACACATACAAAAGGTGCCTTGATGTAATCATATCGCTTACGACAGCGGCAGATTATTTTATTATTTCGTTATTATTTTATTATTGTCGTATTACTAAGTTAACAACAACGAACACACATGAGCGAAGTGGGTCCTTCGTCTGACCTCACACGACAGGGTCTTCACTTGCCGATCACTGCCCAGACCCATTCGGTTTTTGTATAAATAGAAACTATTATAACTCGTTTTTTTCGAGGCTAAGTTTCCGAGAGGTAAAATGCACGAGCATTTATCTATTCATAAAAATAGCTTGAAGCGATAAATAATAGTAGTAACTATTATTTGTGAAATAGCATTACGTTCATATGCTACGCCTACAAATGTGTTACCAATATTGTCCGCTTAACAAACAATGTTATAGACTACAAATTTGCAGTTTAATCGATTGTCCTATAGGAGATCATCCTTCAACATCTGTCTGGGGTATGAACGCTACTGCTATGAAGGCCGCCGGGGCAAACAAATGTGACCCGTAGTGACAGTTAAACGACATATCTCAACATAAATCCAGTTCGTCAATCAACAGCTGTCACAACTAAACGCACGAAATATTTCGTGCAAAGGTTATTGATATCCGTTTCGTCAATATGCTGCAAGATGGATATCTTTTTGCATTATTTTTTCTTTTTCACAGAGGTTACTTTGTGGACGATCCGCATCAAGATCTGTTTCATCGCCTGTATACATAAACGTGAGAGCGGCTTTTTAGAGCGATAGAATCAGATATGACATGGCATTAGTAGAAGCTAGGGAAAACGGCCTCGGGTCTTATATGCCTGTGTGTATCTTCTGGGTATGCAAGGGCCTTTATGACCGTCAACTCGATCAATTCATTTGAATCTAAACAGACAGAACCGAACGAACTTCAGAATAGACTTGTGCTGGTCATCGGGCCAAAATCAGAAGTACATTATGATTATAGAGTATTGCGTCAAGGTGATTTCAGCTCGACGGTGTTCTGCTTAGCTTCTGATTGTGCTTGGCCAGACGGAAAGGGTTAAATGAGAAATTAACTGAACCTGGTCATCATGAACAATTCTATCAATTCCCTTTTTATGAGATAGAGCAGTTTTCCTTATAATTAAACTTACTGCCTGTGATGGCTAATGAAGATCGATTTCATGTTCCGCTATAGACTACCGTCTCCAATACTAAGCCAATCAATATTTCGAACGTGACTCGAAGCGATGCCGAAAATCGTTTAGAAGTAAATTATCAAGAAAATACCAAATCGTGCGTACGAATAGAGTTCTTCGTGCAAGTTTATATTTATTTGTCGCTGTTTCCGTCAATATCGAGTACACAATATACACTATACTTTGTTTAAAACCGACCTAAAAACGTTGGATCCTTCAAGAGTATTTTTTGTCTAGCATACTATATTAGTAGTGGTTGTAGTAACAGGAGGATGACATGGGACCGGATAGAGAGGCCCCATCATGCGAAGATGTTCTCGTTTCCACTTCCGAGCCGTTTTCTCCACTTCAATTTCGCAGGCTGTTCTAGCAATGGAAGTTCAGCGGCTGATTAGTTAGCCGCTATAGTTAGTACTATCTATGTAAGCAATATTTATACAACGTGACGACGCTCTTTTGCTCCAGGAGTAGCACCAGCTATTGTTACAAGTATTTTTAATAACATTACTGTTTTTACCAAATCCACTAGATAGACATAAATGCCAGCGTAGTGTCCGCCGCTACGATCGTTGCCGCCGCGGGCTATGGACTGGGTGTATCGAGCGTGGTAGAGTTCCAGGCTTAACTCATGTTTGAAAACGGGGCGGAGCAAATCCAGAGTAACACTCCGTTAGCGGCAAGGCGGTAATAACGCTCGTAACAATAAGGGTTGTAGAGTTGGCAACAACCCAGCCAATGGCCACTGCTCGGTGGTAATTAGTTGGGTGAGTAGATGTCATGGCGGGGTATTCGTGTAATTGGCTGTTCTAATCCTTGCCCTGAAAGACCGTAGGTGATAATGTAAAAAAAATCGTGACAACAAAGATCTATTCCTTTTTCTTTCCCTTGATTTCCTTCTCTTTATCTATTGTACACTTTGTCTAACGCTTTCTCACTATGTGCCTATACTATATATACTATACTGCCTCGCTGAATGTGCTGGAATGAAGCTGGTTAATGTGACCCAAATCAAGCCCCTGTTCGAGCATCCTCCTTCTTTTTGGTTTATACCATCGCTTCGCCAGCTCCCCCAAGGATTGACCAAAAGTCTTGGTGCAAACAGGCTAATGTCGATTGGTGCTCTGAATCCATTACCTTTAGGGGCAGGCAGACCGTGGGCCGGCAGGGAAACCCTGGTCAATGAAGTCGTCACTGTCTGTGGGCTACCACCTCTTCGCCATGCACAGCGCTGCTAGTACCGGTAGCTGCAATCGGCATTATTCGAGGCTGTAAAGAAGCAATGGCAGAGAAAAGGGCCTACTATCCTACAGGCTACACACGGACATTTTAAGCTGGTCATTGCTTTCTCCTCTCAAAGAATGGTAAGTACGCACTGCAAGTGGGACGCCATCAAGTTTTCTGTGAGCTGCTGCATGAAATATCATATAAAAGCTACGCCTTGGTTCGCCGCACGCTGCATAAGGATCAAGGGGATACTGATTATTCCCTTCGTACAGTCGTTTTCTGCCTTCCGCTGGAGCTCTGCTGGGCACAAGCGCCTTTGCCGATCACAGCGATCCATTGCCAAAAAATTGTATGAGTGTACGAGTAACACAGCTTCCATTCCCGTTTCGCCCCAGTGTAGACGATCACTGGAGCAGCTCTCTGCGCTCCTGCTACATTATTACCGTCGCTTGAAATGTCAGCATTCAATATGTGGCATTTTCGCTGAATACGCCGTTTATGGGCACTTTGCTGTCGTCCTTTTCGGCTTCCCCTCCTTGTTCTGAGTATTACACATGTGCAGCCGGTGCCAAACGTCTCTCAACTGTGAACGTCAATGATGGACGATGTTCCATCTCTGATGTTAACAAGGGTCAAGGCATATTCAATGCAGCTGCTATTACTGCTGCTGTTGTCGATTTTTCCAGCGCCTTTCGAACTGTCAGCCTTTCAATAAGTCTTCCAGTTTCTAGTTGTCGCCCGTTGAACGCCTCGTCAGAAAGGTGGACTGAGGTTCCTTGGCCCATCTGGCCACCGGCGCCGCATGACACCGGGTAGGGTAAGCGTGATC